ATGGAGTGAGACTCCAACTCAAAAATAAATAAATAAATAAATAATAATAAAGGTAAAATAAAAATTGAACACAGGAAGGCGAAAGAAACTCTTAAATTGGCTTAATAATTAAACTTGACTTATTTAAACCAGCCCTTTCTACTAGGACAAAGGTTCTCACACTTGGTCTCACATCAGCATCACCTGGGAGCTTTTAAAAGTCCTGATGCCAGGAAGCGAGCTCAGGTCAATTAAATCTGAGTCTCTGGTGGCAAAGCCCAGGCATCAGACCTTGTGCTACGAACTCCATTGAGTTTCATGCTGGACTTCATCGGTCTTCAGTCTTTTCATCAGTGAAGCCAGCAAAGTAATTTGAGTTAAAACCTAGATTCATAAAATTATCGCATCCTAATATATCGGGAGAAGACCATGGGATAAGGTAGATCCATGTTTTGAAAATAGAAATGCAGTGATAGCAATATATTGAAATATTACAATGATGATGATTTGATCTTAATTATACACAAGAACATTTTTGGAAATGTCAATTCAGTTTATGAACTTATCACTGACCTCTACCTTCTGTCAGTGAGAGAGGTTTGGGGGAGAGTGATTCAAATTTTTTTTCAATCCCTGGGAAGATACATCACTGCCTCTTTTATTCTTATGGATGCCTGCATCCTATTGTTCTCCACTAGATGGGTGATAAGGTACATAAACTTAGCGGGGGCAATTCCTGATGGCACTCTGTCATGACACCGAAGAAAGTAGCTGTGATGCTGGAGAAAACAACAGAGCCGGCAACGCACACATTATCTACAGGGATCTGTGGCACTTCCCCAGAATCACTTTTTTGGAAGATACTCTCTCCTCCTTAATTGAGCTTCTCACATTCCCAGCATTGATCACAATTTGCATTTCATCAGCACACAGTAATGAATGATGGTGTGGCTGTCTCACTCAGACTCATATTCACGAAATATTAATAAAGCACCTGTAAGGTGCTAGAGTGTACGTTGTCTTCTCAGACCTTATAAATCCATGATCTCTTCTCCATCTTCACACAAAGCAAAGAGGGCAATCCTATCTTCTCCATTTCACAAACAGGAAAACTGGCTCGAAAGTGAGAAGCGACTTGTCCAAGGTCACACAGGCGGGTGAGCCTGGGTTGTCCTCCTAGACATGTGGCTGTGTATGAAAGAGGCCATTTTTCCTCTGACTCATCAGAGCTATCCAAGGAGAGGCCTGGCTCACAACTCGTCCAACCACAGAGCGGAAGGCAGGGACACCGAAGGGCACCATGGGGTTTGTACCCAGAGTGTAAGAAAAAGAAACGTGAACTTAGAGGAAGCTCTGGAGTGAGGTTCAACAAATAACTTTGGCGACTACAGCTTTTGCATCTCCTGCCCGTGTGCGCTGCGCTCTGTTTCCAAAGAAACCACGTCCTCCTCAATCCCTAGTGTGCCGGGTGAAAAGGTCATTGTATAAGCAGTAGAGAAAATTAGAACTAATGAGAGCACAGGAAGAGCTCTTGACAACTTCCTTAGGGTGCACGTAATTATTATTACTTTCGCCCCCTCAGGTAGCATCCTTTGTGGCAGTCAGACATAATTTGATTGCCAAATGCAAAATATCTTGTTAAAGGCATATCCTTCTAAATTCCTAATTTATCTATTTCAGTTGCTTGGTTGTTCATGTGTTTGTTACACTCAGAAACTTGGACAAATACTAAATGCTGGTTGTGAAATCTTACAGTTTTTATTATTTGGAGACAAAGAAAATGAGCAGTTTTTAAACTTAGTTACTATATAAAAATAGTCTCCAAAGTTTAGCAGTCGCTCGAGACATCACGTTTTTATAAAATGTAGAGTCTGTTTGAATTATAGAAAGGGTATATATTTTTTAAGTTTTGGTTTTAAATCTCTTAGATGATTACTTAAATGCCATCCTTGCTTTTAGGAAACGTGTTTAGGACATCTGAGAGGGAAAATGAAAATGACAGGAGAAATTCAAGTTCCAGGGGAACTCATGCAAGCTGATTACCAGCAAAGTGGGACCATGTGTAAAACTGTGTTCCAGGCAGGTTAAGGAAGTGGAGAGTTACTGCTGAGATGTGTACACGTTGCCCTAGGAAAAACGAGCAACTTGGTTTTTCACAGGTAATGGCTCGAAGTTTTCTCAATTTTGTATCTTTACCCTAGTTGTGTTGGGATATTACTGAAATACGGTCAACTGGTTTGGAACCAAGAGGAGGGATTATGCTAGACAAATTGCTCACATCTGCAAAGTTATCTTCCAGCAAACATTCTTACCCTGCTGGAGCAGATTCTGCTGGATGTCTCCTTCCCAGACTTCTACAGGATTGATCTCTGGTGCCTCCTTTTCCAGGAAGCTTTCTATGATACCTTCCCCGCAGAGGCTGGCTGGGGTAGCCATTCTCACTGCCCTGGAGCTGTCTGGTTGATCAGACTGTTCCCAGAGGGCGGGGCTGGCAGGCAGAGGTCCTCTGATGAAATATATTCAGAAATCTTCTGTGAATCTCCTTCTTCTACGGCTCTTAGGAGCCTGCAAAGGGCTCATTTCAAATCCAGACTGTCCGGTTTCTTCTGTGTGGTCACCCTGTCTCAGACTTTTCAGGGCTAATAGGCAGTTGGACAACTTGTGGTCCATGGGATTTAATTAGCCCATGCAGGCCAGCCAGACCCAAGTGCTGCCACCGAGACAGCCAGCAGCTGCCTTGTGCCTCTTCCACCCTGCACACCTCAGGGAAAGGCACCACGACCCAGGCTAGAGAGTGTAGAAAGGCTGCTAACTTCTATTAAGCACCATTGCCATGACGGCACTGTCCACATTGCACTCTTTCACAATATGACAGTGCTCTCCTGTATAACAGAGGGAAGGTAGACATAGTGTGGCACGTAGGACTTTCAGGTACCTGGGCTTGCAGCGAGAATACCTGGCTAGAAATTCTGGCTCAACTGCAAGCTTGGCCGCTTTGGGCAAATCGTGCCCCCACCCGTAGCCTCGGTCTTCTCATCTGTAAAATGGGCACAATAATTTCCACTCTGCCTCTCATACAGGCTTGTTATTAGACTCAAAGGAGATGCTCCCTACTCTTTCCTGCTTCACAGAAAGGGGTAATCTTTTACTTAGGATCCTGGGATAAATGCCCCGGTTGCTGAGGCTAGGGGTGACTGCTTGCTGGACATTGGCTGCCTTGCCCACTAGGCTGAGAGGACAAATGTCCTTGTACACCAGTTGTGAAGCTTTATTATATGAAAAGACTTCTAAGAAGTTTCAGCTGCATAGCTCTAAATGCTCATATATGCCTATGTCTCTTGTCACATATATACAGATACACACATATATACAGAGCATGCCCCCAAAATTTATACACATTTTAAGAAAGGAACAAAAAAACTGTATGTGCTTCTGCCGTTTTCTTTGACTGTCGCATGCTGATGCTAGCATTCATTTGAGTAATGCCACATTGCTACTGTCAAGCAATTCAACTTCCAAAAATAATACATAGATCACATCTCTTAGAGTGTGCATACATTTTTTTTTTTTTGGCACCCCTGACATATATACAACTTCCAAGTGGAGTGTGAAAAACCACATTCACACACACAAAGTGCCACAGCCTAGACCCAGCCAGGCCCTCAAAGGGCAGAACACAAACAAGACCCCAAGTTCCCGTCGCCTCATATGTACTCACCTCACGTGTTGACGGTGCTTCCAACCATGCCTTGTCCCCAACAATTAGTTATTTTAGAAAAGAAACAAAAAACACTTGACTCCTCACCAAGGAGACAATTCAGAGAGAGGGAACGTCTGGCTGCCTTCAACTTATAGCCAGATCACTCAGGGAAGTGGGGAGCTGACAATTTTAGGATTGTATATATCCATATCTGTATTCAAACCTCTGTCTTCTGTGCTGGTGGGAAGAGCCAGTACACCCAATGATGGAGCCTTCCCCATCTGTCAATGGGGTTACCATGGTAATGAGGCTATCCACTGGATAAAACACACTTGATCCAAACACAATGCACGTAAGATGCTTTAAAAAGTTATGAGTATTCACTATTATTATTATGCATCAAAATAAATGTTATCAATCCATTGTAGAGAGAGGCAGAGTTAAAAAACAACGCCTCTGCTCTGGAGAATTCTTTCAGGTTGACAAAATACCACAGATCCTTGTACTCAAAGAGCAGTCCCAGAACCAACATCTGGAAACTTTTATCAAGGCGGAGGCTTCAACCTACTGCGCTTGAACCTGCTTCCTAATAAGATCTCCAGTGATTTGTGAGCACATTCAGGTTTGAGAAGTGCTGCCCTGGACTACTCCAAGACGTGCACGTGCACCCCGAGGTCACTTGTACTTTTGGTAGGAATGATGCAGAAAAGCAGGACCAACTTGGAAAAATCTGCTGGGTCTTGTTGACGATTACTCAGGTCTCACATGAGCCTCAGAAAGCAGGTTGTGGGGTAGAGAATCGGTAGAAGGCAGGCCCCCTGGAACAAAAGCCAGTGGCTGCATCCAATGCCCTCGTGGCACAAGTCTAAGGTCCTACAACTGTCCTAGTGCGTAAGAGGGGGAGTCATAAACCCAAATACAACGCTTTAAAAAGGAGGCGATATCATTAGGCAATCTGCAAATGGTTCTTTGGAGGGAGGGGCTGGGGTCTCACTCTGCCACTCTGGAGTGCAGTGGGTCAATCACAGCTCACCACAGTCTTGATCTCCTGGGCTCAAGTGATCCTCCCACCTCCGTCCCACACCGAGTAGCTAGGACTATGGGCACATGCCACCATACCCGGCTAATTTTTTGAATTTTTATAAAGACAAGGTCTAGCTGTGTTGCCCAGTCTGGTCTCGACTTCCTGGGCTCAAGTAATCCTCCCACTTTGGCCTCCCAAAGTGCTGGAATTACGGGCATGAGCCACCCACACCTGGCTTGCAAATGATTTTTAAAAGGAGTACAGGAGTACATGTAGGGAAAGGAACAAGTCACTTACGTTAACCCAAGGGTGTTCGAGGACCTGCATAGCTGAAAATCGCTGATCGACATCGACCAACAGCATCATGGTGATGAGCTCCTGTTGGGGCAGGAGGGGCAGAGAGAGGAGGGGAGACATTAGATTTCATTTATCCAAGCTGTAAGGTGAAAAGCTGGATGCCTGCAAATGCAGGAGTTCTCTTTTAGTTTGGAAAAGCACTTGTAAAAGTTCTAAATCTTAACTACATCAACCCCACTTACCTGTGGCTACCTTAATAACACCTTCAAAAGCTTCAAAAGTTAAAAGAAAGGTGAACATTTGGAATTATAAATACATAGCTTATGGTTGATTTTTAAAAAATTAAATTAATATTAGAAACCATTTTGTAAAAAATGTTTTAGTAGAAAAGAAACAAATGATAAGTGGGAAAGAATTAATATTTATTTGTCTAGAATTTTGTACTTGAAAGACAGATTTCTTAATTAGTTTAATATAGAAATCACATTTTAAAAACACCTTAATTTTCACTTTGGCAGCTGAAAGAATGATTTTTCCCCCCTTAATTTCAAGGCAGCGTATTTAGGCTTGAAAGAAAGGAATGAGGAAAGTCATAGAACTGCCAATGTCTAAAGTTCCTTTTGTAGCCAAAGAATTCTAAGGAAATGCATTAAAACTGCTTCAACAATTTCAAGCCTAATCAATACAAAGAAAAACAGAATGATTAACAGGTAAATGGTTTGATGGTCCTGAAACTGATGAAACTTCCCCACGGGCTTGAATTAATTTGGATTTGGATTAGGCCTTAATGTTAAGCCTACCATACATGTGTACCCTTTGGATAAGAAATTCCCACATCACAAAATAGTTAGATGTGCAGTATCCAGTCACTGACATACACAGGCTAGAGTGCCACTTGGGATGAGGATGATTTATTTTCACTGATGTAGAGTCTACCTTTGGCCAGGCGTGGTGGCTCAAGCCTGTAATCCCAGCACTTTGGGAGGTTGAGGTGAAAGGATTGCCTGAGCCCAGGGGTTCAAGACCAGTCTGGGCAACTTGATGAGACCTCGTCTCTATAATATACCAAAAAAAAAAAAAATTAGCCAGGTATGATAGTGCACATCTGTAGTTCCAGCTACTTGGAAGGCTGAGGTGGGAGGATCGCCTGAGCCCAGCAGGTTGACGCTGGGGTGACCATGAGCGAGCCACTACACTCCAGCTTGGGTGACAGAATAAGCCTCTGTTTCAAAAAAAAAAAAAAGTCTACCTTAATTTCTTCATTCACTTCCTATCTTGGACTGGGACTTATTTTATTTTGAGTCCTATGTCTCACTCTGTCACCCAGGCTGGAGTGCATTGGCACAATTATGGCTCACTGCAGCCTTGACCTTCTGGGTTCAGGTGATCCTCCTGCCTCAGCCTCCTGAGTAGCTGGGGACCACAGGCAAGCACCATCACATCTGGCTAGTTTTTTTTTTGTTAATTTTTATTTTTGTAGCAATGAGGTCTTGCTATGTTGCCCAGGCTGGTCTTGAACTTCTGGGCGCAAGCAATCCTTCCACCTTGACCTCCCAAAGTACTGGGATTATAGGCATAAGCCACCTTGCCCAGACTGCACTGGGACTCATTGAAGCAACTCCGACATAGGATGCCCTTTGCCAGGTGATGTGGAGATACAGGAGATGGTCCTACATATCAGTGACTGCTAATCCTCAGGTCAGGGAGTGATGGCCCTGAGACCTGGGCAGGTTTCTGAAGATCCTGCTGACCAGTGGAAGCACTTTCGCCCCTAGCCCTGCATCCCTAATTCCCCCACCTCCTTTCACCTGGTGCCTTTCCTCTGACTCTTCTGTCAAGTCCCTACATTTTCCTGATTGCAGAGATGGACACCTGGACAGTTGAAGAAAATGAGAGAATTGTGCCCAATATGCAAAGTGGTGATGTCAAAGGGGTTGAGTTTTAAGCTGAAATCATATTCAGGTAAAAGGAAAAACATACATGCTGAGAAACCAAAAGATAATTAATTCTTAATACCAAATTTTGAAACATTTAAGTTGATGCTTTGAGGTGTAATAATACATTTAAAAGAGAGCAATTAAAAGGGTTTCTTTCCTGCCCTAAGGTTTACCAATACATCTGTGTAAGATTTTTATAGTTTTCTCAGAGATTGATCTATTACTATTTTAAAAACGTGGTAAAATGTACATACAATTCACCACTTTTTAAGTGACTAGCTCAGTGGTGTTCAGTGGGCTCATTGCACAGCCATCACCGCCATCCATCTTAGAGGTCGATGTCTTCGTTTAGTGAGATTAAAACCCTATGCCTTGTTCCCCCCTGCCTCCACATCCTGGCTATCCTTCGAGGGTCAACTCAAATCACAGCTGCCTCATAAAGTCTTTCTTGATCATTTCAACCTGCACTGAGGTTGAGCTTTCTTCCCTTTGAATCGCTTCATTTATTCATATGCTTGTTTATTTATTCAGTACATATTGAGTACTGGTCATGTATGGCTATGATTTAGACACTGGTGACACAGCAATGAACAAAACAGATAAACATCCTTGCCTTCACAGAATTTGTGTTCTAGTGGGGAGAGTTTGGAAACAGACAATACACATAAGAGCTACCCACCTATCTCTGTTTATCTAGACTGGTACACAGGTCATCAGGCAGACAGGCCATCGACTGGTGAACCAGGTATAAATGCTACTGAGGAAATGAAGCTGACAGGGAAGAAAAGACAGACAGGAGAGGTGTAAGGGCTGAGAACGGAAACAGGATGGTCTGGGAGGGCTTCACAGAGAAAACAGTATGAAGTCAAGACCTGAGAGAGGTGATGCGATAAGCCATACAGAAATGGCTCAAGCCTGGCGAGGGTGGGGCGCAGCAAGACACAGCAAGATCACTGGAGTGACAGCAGGAGATGGAGACAGTGATGGAACACTTGGTAAGTACTTGTTGGATTGGCTACAGACATGACCAGGTGACTGTGAAATCTTGGAAAACCTAGTAATGACAATTGAAATGTGGACAGCAATCATATTTATGATATTCGTCTCTTTGCACATGATGATATGGAATCAATAATTATGTCCTGGAAACCTACCTTTGCAGAATCGGAAACATTATCCCAGTATGGAGAAGGGAAGTCCACTTGCCCCATCAAAATCTGATCAAAAAGCACCTCCTGGTCATCCCCACTTCTGTTTAGACGGACGACAAGGAAAAAAAACAGCACTAAGATGTCAACTCAGCGTACGTCTCTTCATTCCTGTGCAATGGAGCCCTTCCCTTCCCCATAAATGTGTAAAATGGTGTATTTTTAAGCTATTGAAAATGTCCAGATGGAACTGTTTTGGTAAATTAAGAAAGAATGAGCTTTTAAACTATATGAGGAAGATTTATGGAAGGCATCTAAATTAGCATGCACAACTAGAAAAAAAAAAACAGGGATTGTAAGTAAAGTTCTTATTATGGTCTTTTCCTGCTTGCAGGCTCCTTTGTTCAAGAAGGGGGAATGGATCACCCTGAGAATAGAGAAATGCTTTGTTGGTGCTGAATAAAAGATTGCTGCCCATACCCACGGAATGGAGGGAAACCACACAGCAGGATGTAAGTGATTACACCAGCTGCCCAGATGTCCACCTTGAGGCCATATCTGGAAAAATAAGAGTTAGCAGAGTCAGGGAAGAACAAATTATGGGGGATGGTAAATCGATAACTCTTCTCTTACAAACCAAAATAAGACTAAGCAAAATAAAAATCCTAACAACAAACACTAAATGAAAACCCACCAGCTAAACAGAGTTCAAGGAAAGAATTTTTAAAGTAACAATTTTTAAAAAGACTAAGGCAGATGAGTAACAGTTAAAATAATGCATGCTCAGGGTCATATGCAAATATCACAAAGTAAAGGATTCCAACAAAAAGATTTCTCATATCAATTTTGAGACCCTTGAAACAAACTTCCTACTTTTAGGAATAATAATTATTTAAAGAATATTTTCCCTTTATAAAGTACTGACATAACACTATCTTATTTTGTTTTCCTCACAACTCTGTAGGTTGGACAGAACAAGTATTGCCTGTTTCATAGAAAACTGAGGTTTGGAAAGGTGAGTAATTTTGCTCAAGATAACACAATTAGTGACAGAGTTGGGCTCCAACCAAGGTCTTCAAGAGCCCCCCAAATTCTCCTCCCACCCCACTCCTCCTCAACTCCCTACCAGCAGCCAACAGAGTACAGCTCAACAGAAAGTGTGGCTATGCCCAAGGCAGCAGCATCTGGAAGCCAGATAAGGCCATATGTGGGCTCCCAACTCACTCAATTTTGAGGAACAGAGAAGTTCTCATTCCTTTGCATCTCACCTAAGGGATTTCCCTTCTCATCTGTTCTTTCTGCCCTTGCGGTCTGCAGCACAAGCAAAAACATTATCTCCAATTGGCCACGGTGTAGGGAGAGGGTGCCACCTAGGTCCCCAGGTATAAATTGAGACTGCTAATGAAAAAACAAGAGGAGGGCTGCCTCCCCTCTTGGCTCCACCCTCAGCATTCCTTCTGCTTAAGAACCACCTTGCTGAGCCCTGTCTATGGCTTGAGGTAAGAAATAGGGCTCTGTACCAAAAAAGCCTTTGACTCAGGCTGAGTTCAAATCCTCACACAGCCACTAAAACTAGTCATGAGCCTACATGGTGCCCAACCCACCCGTCTTAGTTTATTCATGCACAAAATGGGCATAGTACCATCTGCTGGTAGAATAAGAAGTGAGTGTAAGGCCTGGCATACAGACAGTCCTTAGAAAGGCATGGGCTATCCCACCTTATGCTCCCATTCATCTGATTCTGCACACAGAAACCAGCAAATTCCCATGGCCCTCTGATGCCTAAAGGTATTTGTGTTCCACAGAAAATCAGTGGATCCCCCAGAGAACCCAGGGGGCCAGGACTGGAGGATAAGGGCACTGAGAGAAACAACCCACAGGAGCCTGTAATTGCAGCACACAGCAGGCAGTGTCTGTTTCTTTTATCTCCAAACGCGAGTTAATTGCCCCCACTGTTCCTCTGTTAGCCTGAACATTTTTTACTCTTGGGTTAATAACTTCTTCTATAGCTGTAACAAAGGCCAAATGGAAGTCTCAAGATCACAGTAACGGGCAGCTTGAGGGGGAAACAGAGAAAATGGCTCCCACTGTAAAAGTTAAAAATAAAATCACATTTTTTAAAAAAAGGATGAAGGAAATCTGATAGCTAATTATTCCTGGATGGGACAGAGAAGTAACATTTTTCCTGTTTTGGAAGCAGGCTAGTTCTTTCGCAAGCATGGCGCACGAACACAAGAGAAGCCTTTACCCGGTCTCTGCAATGATTTCTGGAGCCACATACGTCGGGGTGCCACAGACTGTATACAGGGGACCGTCTACAATGGTGGCCAGTCCAAAGTCACCCAGCTTCAGCGATTTGCTGCCATCTTGGTGCTCGTACACCTAAAATAAAGGGGAAAAGCACAACTGCCTGAAAACCAAGAACTCACAAGCTTTTCCTTGAAGAAATGAGAGACGCCGTGGTTTAGATTTATGTATATAAGGTACAAAAAACCAGGCAATTATAGAAGCACATACATACAAAAAAAAAAATCTTTCTTTAGATTATTGTGAAATTGGAAACATGGTAGAAACCTAGCAAATGGAAATTCATTAAATAACTTATGGTACATTCATACAGTAAGATGCTGCATGACCATTAAAATGGTGATTTGGGCTTGTGATTATTGAAAGAAATTATGTTCAATAGGGAAGACAGCAATTTTCAGAGAGGTTTGTATAAAATGACCATTAAAGAAAAAAAATACACATAAGGAAAAAAGTCTGAAAGAACACAGTGTTGATGTGTCTATCTGTGGGTGGTAGGCTTATGGAGGCTTTTTTTTTTTTTTTTACCTTTTGCACATCTGTTTTTGATATTTTTGACAATAAAGATGGACTTGCATAATGAAATGAACCACAGCAAGTCTCCAATTAATGAAAATAATTACCTCTTCATTCCAATAGATAAACACTTTAAAAATGCAATTCTTGAGTAACTGAACAAAAAGAACCCCTACACATATTTTTAAATATTTTATTTTCGGTGTCCCACATTTCCAACAAGATCCATTTACATTTCCCCAATTAATAATTGAAAGGGATATTAACATTTCATTTCACCTGTGGCGATGTGGAGAAATGGATCAGGTGCAGAGCCAGCATTCTGTCCAGGTTTCCTTATTAAGGCGGTAAAAATCTCCCGCCTTTCACCCAGCAAATCAAGAAAAGGATGCATATGACCACAGGCAGATATACATACTCCTTTACTTCTAGACATGATCATCAAAACAAAGAGATCTGCTCCAAAAAGTATCCCAAACGACTTCTTGTATTTCAAAGAAAAGATGAAAAGGACTTCAGAATTCTAGTTCAGTGCTCTCTGTTGGAATCACCAGGATAGAGGAGAGAAAACTACAGTCAAAGCCAAAGGCTCATATTGCCAGCAAGGGCGATCTTCAGATGCTGCCTGGAAGCAGCAGCGTTTCCCACGTACATCGCAATGTTTCATGCAGCAAGCCGAGGTTTGCTTGTTGATCTGTTATCACTCTGCAATCATCTGTTCCTGGCTGCAGTTTGAACGCCTTGCACAGCAAGGCACATCTCCACACATCAGGAGTGCCGCTACTGTCCACACGCCATGTCTGCCTTTCTTTGGAAAAAGTCGATTAACTTTGCATTTCACTGCAGCATCAAGTGCAGATGTCTGGCCAGCTAAATTGCAAGATCAGCAGTAAGCATTTGGAACCAACTTTTTTGGCAGAGGCTAGCGGTCAGATTCTCCTTTCTGGAGAGACCGTGTCTCTTCTGGGCAGAAAATATTCTTTTACATCTTCTCCACATTCATAAACACGGAGTCTTCTCCCCAAGCACTCTTGAACCACGATCAAGGGTGGGCTGCCCTCGGGCAGGTATCCAAAGCCTTGTGGGGTCACCTGCACTTGGGTTGGTAGAGCAAAGACAGCCAGGTGTCCTTCACAGATGTGGCTCTGCCCAGCTGTCATCTGGGATGGATGCTTTCTTCTCTACTTAATGAAGCAGCTGTCCAGCCCCGGTCACCATAAACAGCTTTGAGTTAGGAACTTTGAGGTATCACAGCTGCAACACACAATGCTGTCCCTGGCCTACGTGTTTTCAGGCAAAAGAAATCCCTAAATCGGAGTCTTAGCATGGTAGTCATTCTGCTCATCTAAATGGCAAGCAAATGCTTTTCATGAAAAGAAATCTGAGATGGAAACATCTAGTAGACCGTCTTTTTTTTTTTTTTTTTTTGAGTTGGAGTCTCACTCTGTCTAGTTTATTTCCGAGGCAAAGCAGAATTGTTTATTTCCTTAATGCCATTTTGTTACCAATAACCTTTCTAAACTGCAAAATTACCTCTTGCTTTGATGTTTGGCCAGGTCCAAACATTCATTTTGTGTGCTTTTGTGAGGTGGTGCAGATTTTGATTTATTCAACCTAATTTTTGTAGCTTTTTTACCTAAACACAGTGTCTATATCACCGAACTGTATTCAAAAGTTTGGCAAAAGCAGATGTTGGTGGATTCGGTCTGAATATGACCTTTGTCATTCTTCCACATGTAGCAAAGGTTTTATTTTTTAGCATGTACATTTTAATAGGACTTCCACCTAACATATAGCCACATACCAATTATATTTAATATAGGTGAGAGCAATATAGTTCTAAACTTCAATAACAGAAAAAAATCAAAAGCGAGTAATAATAAAAAAGTACTGAAAGTAAGTATACTTCTAAAAAACAAAACCATGTATGATAAATAAAATTCTATAGAAGTCACAATTTTATGTTCTTTTCATCTCTTGTATAATGTTCTTTTAACCACTTGCATGATGTCCCCTTTTCTTGCTTTGAAAACCATACAGTAGAATTTTCATGAACATAGATGCTTGAGTGATGCTTAGGAGAGACAGCAAGAGCTTGGAAACAAAGACAAGTTGCATGTAATTGAAAACATCTCTAGACATGAGTACATTAGAAAAGCTGCAACAAAATGTTTTTGCAGGTGAATAAATGTCCAGTCCTCTGGTTTGAAATTCTGTGTAACTTATTGTCAGGCAGGGCAGGAAACAAGCTTACTCTGGGTTTTTCTCTGTCAACACTCTGGGAGAAGGATGGAGAAGAATATATCTCAGTGTTTCTTCCCCTTCGATGGGAGAGTCACTTCCCAAGGTGGAATCATGATCAGCTCACAACTTGAACTAGGCTCACCCTTACCTCTTAACGAGCCAGTCACGCAGAGGCATCACGTATAAAAATGTAGTTAAAACTTGGTTAAAAATCACCGACTGCTAAGTGCATCTGTGTAAAGCTTGCACGGATGCACTTACGTGGGTGCGTGCACACACACACACTCCCCAAATCACCTCTAGAAAGTCTTTTTCCAAATGGCAGCTATAAACTCACTTTGAACTAAGACTTTGATTAAAAGTTGCACATTGGAAAGGCTTCTAACAAGTTCACTCGCCAAATCCTTGGCTTCCACTGCTCTCTGGATCCCAACTGACTTTGTCCCTTAGCTTTTCTCCTCATTTTGACCATCTTTCAGGAGGGACGTTAGCAGGCTGCAAGGCTAGGCACGGACAACCTGGTCCAGCAAGCAGGGTTCCAGGGTAAGAAGAACTTTTTGCTACAACCAAATTTTAAAAAGTCTCTATCAAACAGGACCCACACATGAATTGTCAGTCAAGGAGCATTCACAATGTGAGATATAATTTAATGTTCATCCCAGGCCCTTTAAATACTATAAATGTTCCTCCACATTTTAAACACCGAGGGGCTAGTAAAGAGATGAGGATTAGTGCAAATTACCCAGTATGTAGTGCTTTCACTGTTTTAACTAAGCAATAAAACTGTGTAATTGTACAACACTAATTGAATGCAGCTACACATAATTGTAGACTGCCATATGTATCCTATTACCATAAAGACTGTCAGTATTTTGTAAGCTACTCTTGTGATCATTGCAGATGGCTACAGTCAAGAGAAGTTGTTCTCTAGGGTTTATTATATGGCTATAAAGACATCCCGTGATTTGACAGACTAAATGTGTTAAATGGCGACAATTATGAAAAGGTTCCAATTAAAGGCTGAAGTCACAACCTACCAAGAACAGATACAGTGAAAGGTCAGGTATGTGGATATGAGGGCACATGGGTATTTTACAAAGACTTTTTCTGTTTTAAAGAAGGGTTTTATTTTTGTGTCTTTTTCATTGATTTGGGGCTTTGCACTAGCTGCAACTTGCTGAATGGTAGACGTTTGGGCATATGCCTGATTTCCCTTGGATGGGAAACTGAGACCGTTTGGAAGAGTGATTTGAAAAAATAAAACATTTAATATATAGTCATAAAATGCAGCCGGTGGCCATAAAATAATATGAAAATTCACAGATAACCTGAACCCAGTCAAATGGTTTCCGAGATTCCCATAATATAGCACTAAAAGCTGACTTATGTAACAGATGTGTTTGAACAAACATCATTCTCAGTGTTGCTACGAATTCAAGGACAGCCCTGTTGAAACGCTGGCCAATGAATCATTGGTAACCACTGCAATCGTTTTCACAGAGGCGCTCAATAGGTGCTAAAAATTATTTCACCAAATAGAATTGGACAAAAGTGGCATGAAATTGACAAAGCCATGAGAAAAGGGTCAATTTACTTTTTAACATATATGGTGTCCCTTTAAAAAGACATTGACTTCCCTCTAGCCATCCTTTATGGCCTTTACGATGCTTTCTAAGGACAACAGATTAAATGTAAATCTCTAATCTTTAAGAAATGAACTATAGCAACATTTAAGCAGGGAGTTATTTCGTAAAATGCACTTTACAGCCCACATACTTTTGAATTCGATCTCCTGGAAAAACATAAACTCTGACTTTAAAAATACCATGGTATACCCACATGTAAAATATTTATGAAAGACGAAGTTAAATGAAAAATAGAAATAATGAAAACTGTATAGAATTCAGAAAGGAGTAAGTCAGGAGAGCAGTAACAGTATTAAAGGAAGAAAATGAAATTGCTTTTTAAAGTCTTATTCTGGAGACATCCAGGAAGATGGAGAGGTGAATGAAAACTCCAGGAAACCTGATTCTCACCCCCAGTTTTAAATAGTCACGAAACCAACTTAAAAGGAGTTCTATGCAGCTTCAGTGAGATACACAAAACACACACATTCCAGATTCTGTTAGGAATGATACATCCCAGGATCTTGCCAACACTGTGGGAACTCAATGTCATTGCAATTTTAAAAAATCGTATTACATTTTTGTCACACAATTATTATCCAATATATCACTGTGGAAAAATCAGAAGGGACAGATCATGATAGAGAAAAAGAAACTAAACTCACCCATAATCGTGACACCCAGAAATAA